TGTCTCGCTTTCTAGCTTCCTTGGCTTTCTTTGCTTCTTCATTGGTGCAGTCTCTTGCCCAATGACCAGGTTTCTTGCAAATGTTGCAAAGGCCGTCGTTTTTCTTCTTCTTCTTCTTGGACTTGCTCCCACTGGTTCCATCAGTCCCTGGAGAATTCACTGGGCCCAACCTGTCCCACACTGTTGCAGATCGCTTGCCCTTTGAAGATTGACCAGCAAATAGCGCTTGATCTTGAGATCCAACTCCCTCATTGGTCTCCATCAAGTTCTCTGCTGACTTCAACTGAAGGACCATTTCGTCAAATTTCTTTGACGAGTGAGTAGTCGCTGTTGTCAGAAGATACTTCGCCACGCCTTTGATGACAACCGACTTGAGCTTCAGTTCACTCACTAGTGTCTTCGTGATGCGTGCGATCTGGCTTGCTACTTTCCTCAACCTTCCTACAAAGGCTTGAATGGACTCACCTTCATGCTGTCTTACAGAACCGAGTTCTGTCTCTAAGTCCAGCAATGTGGTCTCATTCTCCTTTCCGAGGGTTGCTTTCAGGTTTTCCCAGTTCTCGTGTGCAGTCTTCGTGATGTCGAGATGGCAACTGAACACCTTGCCCAGGCCTCTGCCTAGAATGCCCAAGGCCTTGATGTTCTTTCCATCCCACTCTTTGCGGTCAGCCTTGTCCGTTGTGGGAGGGCGCGTCCAGGAACCGTCGACCACTGGCCACAGCTCCTTCTGCATAAAGTAGTACTCGAGTTGCTCCTGCCATCCGCTGAAATCCTTGCCATCAAAGATCTCTATGGCGTCGCGCACACTCCCCATCTTCAGGATCGTTCTTCACACGGGTTTCTTCACACGGGTTTCTTCACACGCTCCGATACCATGTTATGAAATGGGGATACCCAGCCTTGTGAGCGCAGCAGCGCTCCATGCTGGGTCCACCTTTATTGCGGAAGACGGATCAAGAACAGAATGTGTCGGGCGTGATCACCTACAGAACCTAAACGGATGTGTCCCTTCTGCTGACATGGCATCCCAGCTTGAGATTGCGGCTTAAGTCCTCAACAGAGGACCAGCAAAATCTCCAGTAATCCCACTAGAAAAGCTTGAAAAATAGCCTAGCATGGCTAGCGCTCTCTGTCTTAATTTCCATCATCATATTTCTGATCCATTCATGGCTAGCGCTCTCTGTCTTAATTTCCATCATCATATTTCTGATCCATTCATCACCACAGTTATGAATTTTGAATGGGGATGGGCAATGGACTTGATTGCAATTTTATTTACAATGGCTTACATCAACTCTCAACCTGTGATGCAGTTGCAATCCTGGCATTCTTTGCAGTTATTGGAAGCGCAGGAAAAACTTCTCACACAATCATAGTAGCTCCCTAGACACACATCCTCATCCATCTTGTTCCTAGTCCCGTGGATGGCTTCTTTTCACGCTGCACAGCCAATTTGCAGTCAGACACTGCCATGATCTCATAGTGTTGAATCAAAGGTCTTGGGAGAATAAACGTGGAAAGTAATGGAGAGCGGTAAGCTACCTCACCCCACATTCTGCATTTCATAGAGTGTAATTTTGTGAGCATTTTGAGTTTGGATTGGAGTTTGTTTGAGTCTATTTTCCATTTTGTGGACGTGGGATCTTTTCTTTGAACAGGTGTGTGTTTCTACTAATGTCCCATTTTGAGATTTTATACTGTAGTGTGCTGTGAGGCTAGGTCATGTGTGCATGTTTGCCATTATAGTGAGAGATTAGGGAATCATATCTGATTCCCTAATTAACACAGAGCTAGGCTTCTGTGTTAAATATTTTGTGTATGGTCAAATAAATTAGGTAAAATCTTTTATGAATATATTTGTCTAAATTGTTGAAAAAAGTAAATTATATTTAATATCTTAATACCAATTCTTTATATATTTTTTATTTGTATTTAAATCAAAACCTATTGATAGATTTCTTATCCAATAAAGCTTTTAATGTTGTACTTGTAAATTGAATGATACTAAATTATTGCTTGATAGATTTTTTGTTATTGACAACATTATTAAAATTTGACAAACTAAAAAATATAACAGAATAAATATTGCAGCTATTAGCACTATAAATATATAAGTATTGACATAAACATTTTATAATTGTAATAGCATCCCAAAACACTTTTTTTAATATCGTTGACAAAAACAACTAGCTTAACTATTTAACTGCACAACCAATACAGAGTTTACCTTGACTCTGAAAAAAAGACACTAAGAATTCTTCGCCATCGAAACTTAGTAAGTACATCACTTGCTCATCCTGTGAATAATAAGCTCAAAAACTGATAGTTTGTAGTCCAGAAACAAAATACCTCGGGCCAAGTACGAAAGGTCTCAGGAGAAACTTGAAGAAGATTGAATGCAGCCTCACCATCGACTCCAGCACAAATTTCCCTGCCTGGTTCTCCAACGTCAAAAAGATAGACGTCTGCGTGGAAAGAGAGCGACGCTTGATCGCAACTGCGCGTACAGAAAGAACAAAACCAAGCGCCACTTTCATCCGTAACACGCCGACCACAAGCACCGTGTATTTTATGAAGCTGGAGCTCCACTCTTTCGACCCTTATTCTGCACACCTGATATCATCTTCTCGGGTCAAATAGAGAGCTTAAAAGGAATTTCTCCTACCTGGCCATAGCCAGACCATCGAGAGACAGGAACAATGCTGTGAAGACACGGGGAAGAGATGACTGCAGTGAGATGGGAAACGTTCACGAAAGATGCTCCTTCCGTGCTCTCGGTCCAAGAACATTTCATCCTGCAACGAATTATCGTTAAGGAGAAGAGATAGTTTCTCTTTTACCTTCCACCAGTGTCTGTATAAGTAGCAAGGCCCGATATAAACACAAGTTGTCCGGAGTAAACCTCGCCAAAAGACCTGCCAGCCAAAGTCACTATCAGAAAAAATCAAAACTAAAAGAAAAACAATTAAACATTTTTACCAGCTCTCCAGCATGAACTGAAGCTCAATCTCGATAATGCCGGTGTCGTCGTTAATAGACAGTATAAATGGTTGCCTACACTTGGCAGATGAAATCTGACGACCAACAAACGCTACTGTACCATAAACTGCAAGGCTGAACATCTTTGGTCTCAAGTCCTTTACCAGAAGCTGCGTGTAAGTTACACACGTCAGTCAGTAGGAATGATAAAATTTGCATTGTCCATACACGAGCGGGAAAATCGTTGAGATCAATAGCACCGTGTGGGTTGCTTGGAATCAGCACTTCCGATCCAAGACATGTTTCGTGATCAGACGCTACTGTCACCTTTGACAACGATTAGAAAATTATTCCGAAGTAAACGCAGTTTTACCTCTTGCTCGAGTTGAAGACAGGGCGGCACACAATAGATCCGAGTGCATGATCCAGACTCCAGGCCCATCTCCATTGTGTCACAGTTTACAAAGGGTCGTTCAAGGGCCAACATGCTTCCGTCACTGCAATCAAGTAAAACATGTTCACTACGAAAGCAGAACGCCTGATACGAAACCTTAGCAAATTGGCGATAGAAACCTGGTCATTCCACAGGACGAACGGCACTGTGATTCCCTCACTATCAACAAGTAAGATTGTTTTCCATCTTCTGTCGCCGCTTGTCTCAGTCTCCATGGACTTTTCCAGTCTATCGTCACAAAGTGATTAAGCCATACTCGATCGATCACGCGAAATAACACTTACTTGGCATAAATATGGTGATCTCCGGCAGCTCCACGTTGTATAGACGAGAAAGTGTCAGAGAGAAACTGGGCACCGAGCAGCATTGCATCGTGTTCTTGGTCCTGCGAGGAAAACAATAGCTAACTCACAAAAAATCGAACATTCACTGCACCTCGTCAAGTAGGACTACTAGGTGCTCTGTGGGTAAAAGACGCGGAGCACACGATCCAGCTCCAACTCTCAGCCTACAACCTGTCATGCGTAGATCTCGACCTCTCTTAATAGTTCCCTCCTCATCTTGTACCATGTCAAAAAATCTATGAACAAAAAAAGCCATCAACAAAAGAAGGTAAAGACGATTACCAGAAGTTCTTGGCTTACTTTCGGTGCAGATAGTGGTCCACTGTGTTCCCGCTGGAAAGATCTCCAAGCGTAAGAAGATAGCCATTGCTCCCTGGAAACTTTCCAATCAATCGAGAATCCAAGCTAAATGAGCTTACCAGGCAAGACGTGGATGTCCAGAACAACGACCTCCATCACGGCATCCAGAGAAACAAACTTCTTCTCCAGAATCGAGTCGACAGTCACAGCATTGGCCAAATGCTGATACCGAGCCCCCCTCCTCCTCTTCATTTGCATCACCGGGTGATTCTCCGCGAGCCTCCCTCTGCCTCTGCCGCGCTCCCTCTCGCCCCAGGCCTATCATCCACAAACAGTACCTACATTCCTCAAAAATCCCTCGAACCGAGCGAGAAATCCTCACCTGGAAGAGCTCCGCGAGGAGAATCCCTTCCGTGACCCCGCGGGGATGAGCTTGGCAGCACGACAAGACGCGCGCCATCATCCACGCCCATCCGGGCGCCGCCGCGCCATCGTCGTGCCGCCGCCGGTACTCCTCGAGCTCCCTCCTCGCCCATTCTATAAACCCTAGAATACCATTTCCCGCCATCGCCATTTCAAATTTACACGCGTGTAAAGATATAAGCGGCCAGTGGGCGGGAATCCCGACGCTCCCTTGTATCTTACCTCTTTGTTTAGCTCGATACTTGTGGAATCCCGGCCTTAGAATCTCTTCCTTCTCCCTAGCAAGGATTCCAGGATCATCACCCCCCCCCCCCCCCCAAAAAAAAAGAGAGGAGAATTCAAGCAAAGATCTATCACAAGATCTAAGATCAAGGGGAAATAGAAAGAAGAAATGGATGGAAAATCTTTGTCTAGCGTTCCTTTGCCGAGCAACATAGCCACACTTTCGGGCAGCATTGTGCCTGACCTCTGCTCATACTACTACTTCTAATCGAAACATTATGGTAATTTTTGATGCGTTTGGGGAGACGTCAAGCATCGCTGTGGAGTGGACGCTGGAGAGAATTCTTCAGCCTGGGGATGTCTTGACACATCTTGGGATTTTACGGCAAACAGTCACAGGAATTGCAAAACTCAGTAAGTTTTTTCTCTTCTTTTCCTTTTATTTTCATATTTATTGTTGTAGTGCCCCAGAAGGGGACTCAACAGTCTTTCGTTGGCAACCAGGATGAAGAAATTTGTAAAAAACTGAAGCTCTACAGTTTAATTCTCAGTGATGCGAATCTAAACTTTGGTTTTTTTATATATATTCTTTTTAACAGGCCAATTTTTGTTACTTGAGCAGTTTTTTTTTTCTTCTTCTTCTTTTGTTTTTAGGTCCTCTTAATTAATTTGCTATGAATCAGTATCGCCACTTTTCATCCTCCGGAGGGGATTCGGACAGCGACACGATCCTCACAGTAAACACCATGGTTTCATGTTCAAAGCACTCAAAGGAGGAACATCAAATAACAGTGTCACTGTTGATCCTGACCCGAGTGAGAATGCGGCAGTGCTATCCCGGCGAGAGAATTGGATGAAACCAACACTGCAATCAAGCTGGATAAAGAGAAAACTTACGACTGATGAAGTGATCGCCAAGGTCCCAAAACTCGGGAGCTCGGCACTGCCACTTTGCAAGCACAAGCCCCGCGATTTCAAGAGACAGACGAGAGAGTTTACGCACGCTGAGCTCGAGGAGGCAACAGACAATTTCTCGCATGCCAACTTTCTGGCCGAGGGAGGATTTGGATTTGTGTACAAGGGCGTTCTCAAAGGTGGCCAACACATTGCCGTGAAGAAACACAAGCTCGCCAGCAGGCAAGGAGGGAAGGAGTTTTGTGCAGAGGTCAAGGTTCTGAGTGGAGCACAGCACCGAAACCAGGATTTTGCGTCGAGGATGGCAAGAGAATGCTCGTTTACGAGTTTGTATGCAACAAGTCACTCGACTATCACTTATTTGGTACTTTTCTTTTTCTAAACACTGAAATACTTGGCTTTGACAGGGAGACAAAAACACAGTGGTACCATGGTGTGCAAGACAGGGAATCGCTTTGGGGGCTGCCAGAGCGATGCGATATCTTCACGAGGAATGCTGGGTTGGAACTATAACTCATAGGGTTCTTCTCACACATGACTATGCTCCAATGGTAACAAATTTACCATTGTTACTATATCATTTCTATATGGTTGGAGATTTTGGATTGGCTAGATGGCCTACAAGCAGCCAGCCCGCAGTTGAGACAAAGGTAATTGGCACACTTAGGTAAGAAACCAAAACTCATATGTTATTTTAGAGATTTAATATTTAGAATTGAAGGTATTTGGCTTCAAGTATAGAGAAAGCTGACGAGTATTCGTTTGGTGTGATTTTACTTAAAATGGTCACAGGCGGAGATCACTAGATATATCTCTAGAATAATGTCTCACAGAATGTCGTTGTGACGAAGAAGCACTCCCAGTCGTAGATCCAATAAAGAATCGGTATCTCTTACATCGAGTTTTGGACGAGCCTGTAATATAAAAATAAATAACCTTACCTCACAGCTTTACGAGATCCAAGCAATGGTCCACGCAGCAGCATTTTGCCTGACAAGAAAACCCACGCAGAGGTCAAGAATGAGCCAGGTTGATCCTTACAAAGGGAAAACATGAACTTACATTTTTGCATGTAGGTGTTGCGAGTTTTGGAAGGCGAGAGAGGTGAAGCACCCACCATAGCTCTAACGCACCTGGGATCCCACAACCAAGAGCCGGATTCCACGAGTTCCAAGCAATACCACGCTCAAAAGTCCGAGCAAGCAAAGCTAGATTTTGCGAGCCAACATGAAAGTTGACTGACTCTATAAGTAAAATCCTCAAGAAAAGAAGAGAAACTATTCTTCGTGATGTTGTTACAAGCAGCTCCTATAATCCAAAGTCATACAAAGAGCTTCTCAGGATCAAAGTTTCAAAGAGTGATCTTGGCTGGCGGCATCCATCGCAAAGAACTCGGAGATCACCTCCAGCGGCATGCCTTTGGTCTCGGGAACTTTGAACAGGGTGAAGATCCAGGCCGCCAACACCACCACCGCGAAGCAGCCAAACAAGCCCCCGATTCCCAGCACCCCGAGGAGCGTCGGGAACATGTTGGTGAGAATGATGTTGCAAGTCCACATCGAGGCCTGGCACATCCCAATGCAGAGGCCGCGAACTCGAGTCGGGAAGATCTCCGAGCCCAGGATGTTTGGGATGGGTCCGAATCCCATCACGAAAACGCAAACGTAGACTGTGACGCCGACGAAGGACGCTGCTGCCTGGAGGATCCCAGCCGGGACGAGAGTGCTGGAGATGACCATGGTGACCAGCGAGAGGAAGAGGATTGGAAGCGTGACGAGGAGTATTTGCCTGTGCGTGAGCGAGAAACAGAGTTCGAAGGAAACTATGAAAAGTTGGCTTACCTTCTTCCTTTCACGTCCATGAGACGCATCGCCAGGCCGATGCACGGCAGCATGATCAAGCAGGTGACGCCACTGGCGAGAATCGAGGCTGACGCCGAGCCGAGTCCCAGACGTGCTAGAAGTTCATCGGCCCCGGACTGCTGGAGGATCTGGGGAACGAAGTAGAGCACCGCATTGATCCCACTGAACTGCGAAACAAATACACAATCCATGATCGCGATAGTATGCCAAACTTTTTCTTTCCACGTACCTGTTGGAGAATTTGTAGAAGAACACCCACGACGAGCGCGCGGCGGACGCCAACTTCTAGCAGATCCGACCACGCCGGGCCTTTGATGGCTGTCTCGACAGGATGAACCATCGCCGGCCCGACCACCTCGTCCGAGACGAGGTTCTGGAACGACTGAGCCGGCCTGCCGATCAAAGCCGCGGCTTGGATCGACTGATCGACGACGGCGTTTCCACCACCATCTTCGACCACGCCCGGCAGAGAACGCGCTGATACAGAGAAACTCCCAGAGATGTTGTTGGCAGCAGCAGCACCCTCTTGGAGAAGAAAAACACGTCGAAAGTCCCTGTTGGTGTTTTTGGTCGCTGACAATGGTCCTCCTCTTTCCTGGTTATCCCATTCCCAAGCAAGCTGCCAGCCGCTACCGATGCCAGCGCTCACGACCGGGCTCGCAACCGTAGTCCCATTCACGCCGCTGCTGCTGTGAGTTACGCCCAGCATGGAGCTCGGCCTGGACAAGAATCCTGCCGTGATCACAGACTTTGAGCTCGCACGTCGTCGCAGCAACGGAGTTAAGAGCTCCTCGATCTCTCCCACCACCGCTTCTTCGCCACCTTCTTCTAAATCCCCCCCGCCTTTCTCTACGTCGGACTCGTAGTTTTCTTGCTCGCGATCGCCGCTAGGAGCCACACTCACATTGGTGAGGTTCCCAATGAGTGCTACCAGGGGGTCCACGAAAGGAGACTGGCCACCGGCTTGCGAGAAGCTACTGTGTGTCGGATCGGATTCGAGCAGAGGTTTGGCGATCCACGAGACTCCGCCATCTTCCGGTGTATACAAAACGTGGCTGGATCCATTCGCGAGAAACGACGAACCATTGCTCTTGGTCTTCGGTGGAGCCGGTTCTAGCACCCATTCTTCCAGTGAACCGCCGCTTCCTACACCCAATCCTTCCACCAACAGTGCCAACTCCGCTGGAAAGATGAAAAGTTGTGAGTATAAACAAAGAACGAAAACCAAGAGGATTCACCTGATATGTCCGTCTTGTTCCTCAGCCTCTGGAGCACAAGTCTAGCTTCCAGCATCTTTCCTTTGCTCACCATCCACCGAGGAGACTCTGGCAAGTAGAGGATCGCCAGTGCCAAGAACAGCAGCGATGGTGCCATAAGGAGCGCCAGCATTATCCGCCAGTTTGGAGTCGGCCAGAGCGAGAAGAAGAAGCAGAGCGAATAGGCTAAGAACAGGCCCACCGATCCCATGAATTGCGGCAGCGTGGACAGCGTCCCACGGATCTCAGGAGGAGCAGTCTCGGCAATGTATATCGGGATCACTGTCACTGCGATGCCGAGACCCGAACCGACCAGCAACCTCGACAAGATCAGCACCAGCACAGTCGGCGACCACAGCATGATAGCAGAGCTCGCCGTGTAGAAAACCCCCGAGACGATGAGAATAGCTCGCCGGCCCAGCCAGTCTGATCCAGGCCCCGAGAAGATCGTGCTGAGGAGAGCCCCGACGAGCGTGGATCCGACCACAATGCCTTCAATGATGGGATTCCCTTGTATTCCCAGCTCGGGCTTGAGATAGAGTAATGCTCCTGGAAAGAAAGATCACACTGGATGAGTAAGGTGGCATGGGAAAGCAAAGAATGATTTCTCGAGTACCTGCGATAGCTCCATTATCCCAGCCCTGGAGTAAGTTGCCCAGAGTCGCTGCAAGAGCGATCTGGGTGGCTGGGTCCATGAGAAAAGGAAAAACCGAAAAGAAAAATACAAACCTTTGGTCATTTTGACGATCATCTATTTTAACCCGCGCTTGTTATTTTTTGCCTCGGGCATATTCCACGATTACCGCATGTTGCAATGCACAGGTTGCTGCCACTACATGTTCAAGATTTCACGTGCTGACATGACAAACAAGATGCGAACCTGGGAATGCAAAAAAGGCTCGATCCTTTTCGTCCTTTTTGCATTAGTCGGAAAAGAATTTGATCGTTGTTTCTTATATCGAAGAAACAATGCGGCTAGATCCTCCTCTGTGACTTTCGGGCACAGATCAGAGAACCTGCGAAAGAAGCGACTCAGGCTTGACAAGGAGATCTAAGCCACAGAATGAGCTTACGTTTCTGCTGGTGGTTTCGAAACTTTCCATCCGACCATTCCTGCAACTCCTTGAGAGGAAGCCGGTTCGAGATGATAGTCTCTTCAGAGGATTGTTTTCCTCGTTCCCAGTTTTCATAGCGTTCAGAGTGGTTTCATCCAGATCCAGCAGTGGTGGAGCTGAGGATGAAAACACTTTCGATGACGATCTCGAAATCTCTTTCCCAGGTTGCATTCGTGCTCGTTCCTAGTTTTCAAAAATAACACAAAATCAAAAGAATGAAAGGAAGTTGGCGACAGTGAAAACTACCTCCGGCGCAAACGACGCTGAGCTCAGGCAAAGGTTTCCGGAGAGAAACACCTGGATCAAAACAAATACTGAAGAATACCTTCCACAGTAAGATGTGCTATAGCTTGCAATCTCTCCTTTCCTTCGATCAAAGAAATTTCCAGCTCCTTCTCATGGCGTCCCATTTCTTGCTTCACAGCTATGGAGCTCCCTCGAGCAAGAGCTTGCTTCATTCGTTCCATCTCTTGGCTTTGCAAGAACACCGGGTCTGGACCATATCTCTGGCGTTTGCATTTTTCATCAAAGTTAAGAACACAAAACTATAGCTACCAGAACAAAGAAAGAAAATATTCACCTCAGGCTTTTGGATCTCCCCCTCGTCCTGTTGCGAGCGAAATTCTGCCAAAGCCGAGACTCCTCCAGCCCCGTGAATGCCTCGATAGAAAGATTGCGTAGCTCCCTTGAATTCCATTTGCTCTAATCTATCCATCCAGCAAAAAAGTGAGCCAAATAAACCATAGACTCGCGCGATCCATCGATCGATCGATCGAACATACCTTGCAGAAGTAGAGAGCTGTCCATCGAGGAGATGCTGGAGCATAAACTCGGCGCGCGTCACGCGCCTATACCCTCGCCTTCTTCCTCCATTCTTCTCAAGAACCCTAAAAATCTTTCGAGGTTGTCAGAGCGCCAAATCGCGCGCTTGCAATGGCGGGCGGCGCCCCTGCTCCTCCTCCAGCACAGCGGGGCCGCATTCTTTCCCTCGTCCAGGGATGCGCCAGGGATCAGCCTTTCGGAGGTATAGCAGGATTTCTTCTTTCCAGTGCTGGAAATCGAAGTCCATGCAGAGGGCCACATGTAGAACAGCTCTCATGTCGCAACGGGAGCACGCAAGATCGGAGTTGGAAACGAAGAAAGCGCGCAAGAAATCCGCGGAGGAGGAGCTCAAGTGCCTCGGGGTGGACGCCACGATCCAGTCGCGACAGGTGGAAAATATTGCCGATTGAAATATCTCCTTTCTTTCGCAGACAAGACTGGAGAGCAAGCACCTGGAGATTGCCAATACGAGATCACTGCTGGAAGAACTCAAGGTAGGAAAATCTCTCATGAAACTCTCTTGCTCTACAATGTGCATTGGGACGGGTCCTGGTGAAAGCCGGATCACAAGGAGGTGCAAGACAGTTACACATTGCTTGTTCTCGTCAAAATATTTCGATTGATTGACACTGATTGTTTAGATCCAGGGACCAATTCATTCAAGACTCACTCGAGCTGAATGCCATCATGCTTTATTGTTGCAAATTGTGTGAAGAAATGCATAGTAAGGATAGTAGGTAGGTCAAGCATAGTTGACCAATGTGAGATATTATCTAGCAATATGTTAAAATAACACTAGATTATCAAGATATTAAATGGTTTTAATGTCTTTTTGTATATTTAGGAGTTACTTTATGCTTTTATTCTTTTGCTCTTTTTGTCCTTTTATTTAATGGTTTAAGGCATTAAAACTCTTGCCCTACTTTATTGCCTTTTTATATCTTATCCTATGGTAAATCATTATAAAGTGTGAAAATTATATATGTTATATTAATATGAACAAAGTGGCAATCTAATCCTAATTCTTACCAAGATGGCCATTTCTCTTGAAAGCTAACTTCCCAAAGATATTTGAATCTTTTTTGTGCTTCTAAGAAATTTAGGCATTCCTTAAAAGATTCAAGGTGGGGAATCATTTGTATGTAATTTATAGTAAGAACAAACATGCTATTGTAAGTTATAGAGACATCACTTGGTGGACACTAGAATACCTATCTGGTACAATTTTCTATTAAATTAACCATGGCATAACATTGCCTTTCTTCCATATTATTATTGTCTAGTGCAATACTTGTAGTTCCAAAACTATTATGCATTGATTTTGGATGGTAGCAACTTTATTTTTCCTCAATTTTTGAACTTGCTAGATCATTGTAATTGATTAAATTTTCTATTCTACTTTAGATACATAACCACACTTCGGACCACTTGGAGGAGTCTCACTCATAACCTCTATAAGTTACATTTAGAACTTAAAGACTTGTTAGCCCCGTGAATGGCATTTATGCCACTTAGCTTTTGCATTTGGTTCAAGTGTTCCACATGTTTGATCCCATGACCGACACTCAAGGGTACCACTAATATATCAGCTCGTTACATTAAGGCTATGCCCATTCACCCTTGTCATAATAATAGTCCAAGACCACATACATCACAATCCCATCTCTCAAAAACTGGGTTATCTATCCATGAGTGGTCATCCCTTGACCACTTTTTAGCACTTTTAGGATGCTTGGAGACATAAGGAACACCCTTCCCTAATATCCCTTTTGTAGCACACTTTATAAAAAAGCCTTTAATAGCTATTTTATCCCTATTTATCCCCCAAGTTCCAAGGATCCACGATGACAATATATTTAACTAGTCCTTTGTTCGTGAATACTCCACAAAAAGAATATATTTAACTAGTCCTTTGTCCATAAATACTTCACACAAAAGAATATATCTAACTAGTCCTTTATCCGTGAATACTCCATATAAAAGGAAGGATGTATACATGGATGCCCAATACATACGATTTCAAATTTATGGGTAAGAATATACCTTGCTCAAAGGTATATTATATTTTTAAGTAGCCACTAATTTATCTTTTTCCTTTTAAACCAATTGGAAAAAGGGCAATTGCTTGATAAGAGAGCTTTTAGTGGCTATTTTATCCTCATTTATCCCCCAAGGTTCCAAAGATCTATGGTGATAGTATATTTAAATCTCATCCCATGATCACATGCGCTACACCTTCTTCCATCCCCACAAAGTCCCTCTTCATCCGTGGCCATGCTCGCTAACACCGCCATTAGGCCAAGGCCCCAAAAGCTTGACTACTAAATCGCACTATCCTCTAGGACTTCCTCACTATATGATTGTATCCTTGGTCACTACACTAGAGGATTGCTCCTCTTCCTTTCCACAGTCTAAGACTTTAGGATAACATTTTGGAACATTGTGGCCCTATATAAAACTCATAGATACTCTTCCCACCTTCTGCTTTTCGGTGCCCTAGCTATGGGGCTAGAGCAAGGTTCTGTTAAGCCACGCCAAATATCCAAGTAGGTAGTGCCACCCACACTTAGATTAGGAGCATCGACCATTTAATCTCCCAGGGGAGCTAGAGCTGGCTTTTGAACACTTCACCAAACTACTTCATTTGTCTGTCCATATTCACTCTAGCCTTGAACTCCTTACTAGTTATATTACCACCCAACATATGGGTATAACCTTCCTTGGTCACACTAGCCTTTCTTGGCTAAACTAGCTCCACTGGAGTCCTCCCCCTACTATACTTTTGAAGTTCACCAAACCCTCTAGGGTTTGGGAGACGATCGCTTTGGGTTTTCACCTTTGGACTCGAATTCAGACTTGGACTTGGACTTGGTTTTGAACTTGGTCTTGGACTCGGTCTTTGTCTCGGTCTTAGACTCCATCTCGGGTCCATCTCGGACTCGACCTTGGACTCCATCTTGGGTCCATCTCAGACTCCATCTTGGACTCTATCTCAAGTCCATTTCGAACTTGACCTCAAACTCCATCTCGAGTCCATCTCGGACTCCATCTCGGGTCCATCTCAGACTTCATCTTGGGCCCATTTTGGACTCCATCTCGAACTCCATCTTGGGTTCATATTGGGTCCGTCTTAGGTCCATATCAAACTTTATCTCAAACTCCATTTCAGACTCGTTCTTGACATTTCCATATGTCATGACACTTGCCATGTGTCCCTTCTTATGCCCCTTTTTAGAGATTCATTCACCGATTGCTTCATGCTCATCCCTCGAGAACTTCATTTGGAGTTCCACTCCCACTCTCGGAGATTCCTCTTAGCAATACTATTTGATGGAATGGCCTCTTTTATGCAAAATTTACAAGTATTAACATCCACATATGAAAAAAGTCTCCCTCATTGGAAAAACGTGAAGTCACCTTAGAAAGATTGGTTGTTATTGCCACCCAAGCTTTGGCATGTGCCAATCATAATCCTCCCACAGAAAAAGAATGTTCACTCCTTCCTCTTTTCTTGATCTTGGGCTTGCCTTACTCACTCTCTGTATAACCACACCACCCTCTTGGGCATCTTTTCCCTTGGCACTAGCTAGAGATGTTATTGGTGTTTTTCTTGCACTCCTCCTTGATAACATTAGCCAATTTCACTTTTTTGGCTTTGTAGAATGTGGGGTGAAATAGCCTAACCACTTTTCTCAAAATCTCAAGAAGCTTGAAAATAGCCTAGCATGGCTAGTGCTCTCTGTCCTAATTTCCATCATCGTATTTCTGATCCATTCATCACAGCTATGAATTTTGAACGGGGATGGGCAATAGACTCCATTGCAATTTTATTTATAGTGGCTTACATCAACTCTCAACTCATGATGCAGTTGCAATCTTGGAATTCTTTGTAGGTATTGGAAGTACAGGAAAAACTTGTCATGCAATCATAGAAACTCCCATTTGGAGATTCTCCTCTAAATTGTAGTGTCTGACTGCAAACCCTAGGAATTTGGCTATGAAGCCATCCAAGGGCAGTGACCAGGATTAGTGCTGGTTAGTCCCTACCACATACCTCATTATATGTTTCAAAGCCTGCCAGTGTGATGGTCCAGGTACTTTGCCACTGGTCTCACAACATATGCAAGGTCAGGCCAAGTGAAAATTACCAGATAGATCACATTGCCAACCATAGAGTGATAGACTGCTCTAGATGCTTTCTCCTCCTCGGGATTGATCAAGGTACTCTCCACTCTCAATAGATAATTTTGTGCATATGTCCATGGAAAATGCAAGTAGAATGAGTGAGTGGAAAGGCAAAGTGCCCTTTAAGGCTACTTCACATGTGGAGCAAGCTTTTTTATTAGTAAGCAGTTGGGTGGAAAGAAACAAAATAGCCCTTTCTCATTTCTTCCCACTCCATTGCTTGCTAATAAACAAGGCTTGCTCCACACATAAAGCAAGTTGAGAGGGCACCTTGCCTTTCCACTTGTTCTACTTGCATTCTTCCTCGATCAAGTCTAAATAGAGTGATTCCAAGTCCTTTCCAGGCACAGTTGAGAGCATAAATGTCAAAGGTTGGAGTTCAAGGGAGAAAGAGCTGAGTAGGAATGCTTTAGCTTGATCAATAGTGATTGCATCCTTTAGCTCAATGATCATTGGTTAAACTTTCCAATGTAAGTGTCATCAAGTTGCATTCTCAGTGTTTGTGTTAACACGACCTTAGCTGTAACGCATGTGATCATAAGTGGATGATTAGTTGCCTCACATGGAATAGCTGGTTTACACAATGGAAGAATTGGTAAATTGAGTGTGGATATAGAGGTGTTGGTTCCCCTTGGCTCAATAGGGGTTGTTAAACAATAGTCAATAAGGACATTGACATCTCTGAAGGGGGAAGTGCTGATTCCCTTTGGCTCAGTAGGGGTTGCTAATCAATAGTCAATGAAGACATTGACATCTCCAAAGAGGGGGTGAGGACATTGACATCTCTGAAGGGGAAGGTGTTGGTTCCCCTTGGCTTAGTAGGGGTTGCTAATCAATAGTCAATGAGGACATTGACATCTCTGAAGAGGGGGTGAGTGTAGCGTATGTGATCATGGGATGAGATTTAAATATACTGTCACCATGGATCCTTGGAACCTTGGGGGATAAATGGGGATAAAATAGCCACTAAAGGCTCTCTCAGCAAGTAATTGCCCCTTTTTCAGTTAGCTTAAGGGGAGAGAGATAAGGTGCACTACATTAGCATTAGCAGCTTTTGTAGCAAAATTCTTATTTAATCTATTCTTATGCAACAGGAAATTCTAGGGGCTGGAGAAACATTCACGGGACAAAATTTCTCCACCTGAGAAACGAAAGTACCCTTTTGGCCAAGGATTGCTAGCCTATAGTGGATGGAATGACTCACTGTCCAGCTGCTATGAATGTAACCCAATGGCTCAACTAGGATTCTAGGAACTAAAAAGCACTCTTAGTTATTGGGTTAGGTCTTGGGGATGAATTCGTTCATCTTCTTGATCTCAGCAAAAACAGCCCACCAGAATTGGACATCCCCTACACAAATCTTGGTTGCAAAATCTGCTAGTTAAAGTCATGTTAACACAAAGGTTCTTTATGCTGAGAATGCAATTTAATGACATGATGGC